GTTTTCAGCTCTTTACAGCAGATGGTTTACGGATAATATCGAATTTTTAGCAACTAAGCAAGAAAAATTTGGATAAGGAGAGCTGGATTCGTCATTTCTCGCGAATAATTAGTTCTAGAAGGCTGAAAATGTAAAGTTCCATTGCTAACGGTATGTACTATGTGTTAGTGCTACTGTTAGTGCTAGAACATCTCAGCATTACGGAAAAAACATGAAAAACTTCGTTTTCTCATCGTTTAGCCTAGAAAAATATTACAGCAACCACATAGATAAATAACTTCCATGTTTCCTCCTTTCTTAACCTCGGCATAGTTAGTTGTAATGTGGTGAGTAGTTTATGCCAGCACGAGGTTAGTAGATTTATTGTTAGTAGATGCGGCCTGACGTTTCGACGATTTCGTCTTCTTCAGAGGCCTAAAGTGGTAGGAGATTTAGATCTTATGCTCTACCCCACCACAAACCTCCTCCACCCCTGGCCAACCTCGATTCCACCCCCGAATGTTACAAAAAAAATACGCAAGTACGCAAAAGACGAACTGACCTCCTCCGCCGCTGCCGCTCAGGTGGATGTTGAATGCGGCCGTCCTCGAGTGCCACTAGTATGGAATACAGTGTATACCATATTGATATTAATCAGTGGCATTCTTCAACTCACATAATGCCATAAAAGGCATAAAGTCATTCGTGATTGACGCACACTCATTTCGGTTGTTCATGCATGGATTTCTTGCAAAAATCCAGAATGCCTCGAGAGCTTTTCTACTAGCAGTATCAGACTCGTATGCAAGTATAGTGTACGTAATTTTGAAGTCTTTACCACAATGGAGTTCAACCCTATGTTTACCAAGCGGTGTGGTAAGACTTCCCCGTCTCTTGCTGGCAAGATGTTTCTTTATTCTTACCCAAAGCGGTCTCCCAGTCTCTCCGATATAAGTAGCGCTGCACTCGACACATTCAATCTCATATACAACACCCGTTTTACCGCAGTCACCAACTTTACCGGATGGACAAACTACGCAATCTTGGACTCTGCAGTAGTTGTCGTATAGTCTGTTACGAACTAGCGCTTTCTGATGTTATCACTAGGAATTCAACTAAAATGACATCGTCTTTCAAGTTCGCACGATCAATGCATCGCCGCACTGCAGCACTAGTTTCGTCAGAAACGAAAGGAAGGCAAAGAGGTACTTTCTGTTGGTGCTGATTGCTATGAGTGGAAGTGGTCTTCTGCGTCCTTTTTGGGGCGCGTAACCATTCATTCGAGCAATCTCCAGCGCCCTACTTTGTGAATCCTTCCGTTCTTCTTCTCCTGTACATACGTTCGTTGCTGTTTTGAGCATGTTACGAATGACAGCTCTTTTAACAGCGATCGGATGTGCAGAACGAGCATTGATCAAGATATTCTTGGAACTCTCTTTACGATACATTTCACACTCGCAGCGCCGTTGAACAGTTTGATTTGTACGTTGAGAAATGGTTGGTTGGTTGATTATGGTTGGCTCCCCTTAACAGCGATCGGATGTGCAGAACGAGCATTGATCAAGATATTCTTGGAACTCTCTTTACGATACATTTCACACTCGCAGCGCCGTTGAACAGTTTGATTTGTACGTTGAGAAATGGTTGGTTGGTTGATTATGGTTGGCTCCCCTTAACAGCGATCGGATGTGCAGAACGAGCATTGATCAAGATATTCTTGGAACTCTCTTTACGATACATTTCACACTCGCAGCGCCGTTGAACAGTTTGATTTGTACGTTGAGAAATGGTTGGTTGGTTGATTATGGTTGGCTCCCCTTTCTCAACGTACAAATCAAACTGTTCAACGGCGCTGCGAGTGTGAAATGGTATCGTAAAGAGAGTTCCAAGAATATCTTGATCAATGCTCGTTCTGCACATCCGATCGCTGTTAAAAGAGCTGTCATTCGTAACATGCTCAAAACAGCAACGAACGTATGTACAGGAGAAGAAGAACGGAAGGATTCACAAAGTAGGACGCTGGAGATTGCTCGAATGAATGGTTACGCGCCCCAAAAAGGACGCAGAAGACCACTTCCACTCATAGCAATCAGCACCAACAGAAAGTACCTCTTTGCCTTCCTTTCGTTTCTGACGAAACTAGTGCTGCAGTGCGGCGATGCATTGATCGTGCGAACTTGAAAGACGATGTCATTTTAGTTGAATTCCTAGTGATAACATCAGAAAGCGCTAGTTCGTAACAGACTATACGACAACTACTGCAGAGTCCAAGATTGCGTAGTTTGTCCATCCGGTAAAGTTGGTGACTGCGGTAAAACGGGTGTTGTATATGAGATTGAATGTGTCGAGTGCAGCGCTACTTATATCGGAGAGACTGGGAGACCGCTTTGGGTAAGAATAAAGAAACATCTTGCCAGCAAGAGACGGGGAAGTCTTACCACACCGCTTGGTAAACATAGGGTTGAATTCCATTGTGGTAAAGACTTCAAAATTACGCGCACTATACTGGCATACGAGTCTGATACTGCTAGTAGAAAAGCTCTCGAGGCATTCTGGATTTTTGCAAGAAATCCATGCATGAACCACCGAAATGAGTGTGCGTCAATCACGAATGACTTTATGCCTTTTATGGCATTATGTGAGTTGAAGAATGCCACTGATTGATATCAATATGGTATACACTGTATTCCATACTAGTGGCACTCGAGGACGGCCGCTTTTAACATCCACCTGAGCGGCAGCGGCGGAGGAGGTCAGTTCGTCTTTTGCGTACTTGCGTATTTTTCTTTGTAACATTCGGGGGTGGAATCGAGGTTGGCCAGGGGTGGAGGAGGTTTGTGGTGGGGTAGAGCATAAGATCTAAATCTCCTACCACTTTAGGCCTCTGAAGAAGACGAAATCGTCGAAACGTTAGGCCGCCACTACTAACAATAAATCTACTAACCTCGTGCTGGCATAAACTACTCACCACATTACATAGATAAATGTTCTACGTGGAATGTCTACGCGTAAGCAACAAAGAAATTTTGTAGGAGCTTTTTGAACGAAGTTACAATTTTGTTTTGATTGGTCTCAACGTTTTCGGTCGCATGTTTTTTTTCAGTTCTTCGCTTCAATCTTCTCTTGGATCAAAGCTGCTGGAAATCTTTTAGCACTATCTTCTAGAACTAGGTTTGCTCTATCTAATGACATTTCGAATCCCATTTGGGATACAGGATTATTCCGGATTATTGTGGTCTGTACCTATTTTGGTGCAGGAATTATGCATTAACCTAATAGTAAAAAGAAGTCGTTTGCACATTTTTATAACGCATTTAAGTAACTTTCAAAAATTTCGCGACCCATTCTTCAAAGGGGTGGGGGAGCGCTCCCCCCTCGGTACGCCACCCGATACAACCTGATAGTAAATCACTCTGCGCACTGACCCGAACCCAACCCAGTACATTAAAACCCACAAGGGTCTGGAATGGTGCCAATTCGTTTGTAACGGCAACGCATTTTTCCTTTCTATTGATTTTTGGAATCCGCTATGCAGTCCAAAAGGAGCCAAGGGTTTTGCGAGCTACTGTTCAGGGTTCGTGCGATAAGATTGTAACAGCCGTATCGAACGTAGCGTTTTCATAGCCTGCTGTAAGCGCCCAGAGATGTTGATGTTCTGCTTTTCGCAAGTCTGTCTAAGTGCTCCTTCATCCGGATGCATGTCGGTTCGCCCTGTTTCACCCACGTATTCCTCACCACACGACTGACATATAATGGGGTAGACCACCTCCGCCTTCAGGCAATCACTTGGGCCTACCTGGTGGCATCAAAGATGCCGGCAGGTAGGCACACATTGCGGGGAAGTTGCCATCATCGGCGGCAGCTCGTGGAGTGATTGTAGGTTTCAATAATCTTATGTAACCTTAGTGCGCAATCATTTCGCACATCAAATTTTGATGACACAGCCGCAAAACTGCTATATCGCGCGCGGCCAAACCTAAGTGCGTTAACTTCGAGTGCCACCCGGTTAACCATTCGATCATTCGGGCAACCATTGCCGTTTGCACCAGTAACAAGAGAAACGCGCTGATAAGTGGCCGCTTGTGAGAGGGATCGATACATTGCGTGAGAGACTTTGACCTGAAAGAACAGCTGATTGAGCTAGAGAAGGGCGAAATCGGTGCAAACGAGATTTAGAAGGGATTCCCAAAAAAGATAGTGTTCTTTATGGTCCTAAGGCATTACTAGATTTTTTCTCTGTAAGAAAGTGTCGTTTCAAAAAAAGAAAAACTCATATAATGCGAAAAATGATAGTTTTTTGATAGAAAGTAGAGTTTTCTGATTTTTCGCCTGACGTAAATTGTGTGATATCGCCGCAATTCGCAAACTCACCGCCGTCGGCAAAGGTGCCACCACCTCGACGTAGTTGGGGCACGTCGAGATGCCGGCAGCTCCCTCTCTCAAAAGAGCGCCCCATTTCGACGAGCTGCCGGCAGGTTGCCGGCAACTGACATCGCGAAGTTGTCGGCAGCTCCTCCTGCGCTTCCAGATATTTTCATAGAGGAGGAGTTCTGGAACCGCAGACTTTTATGGAGTTTTCTACAGAGTCGAGGCGGCATCTTTATCGAGGAAATTTTTTAGAAAAAGGCCTGGGACGGCCTAGATTTGGGGTCTCAGTTTCTGGCCACCTTACGGAAAAGGTGCCAGCGACCTGCCGACGAGACCTGCCGCCAGGTCGGGAAATTACTACCAGCCCTGGTCTAACGTACGGACATATCCTGCAATCAGGAATCGTACAGATGTTGTCATAAGCACGATTGCTAATAGCTGCTTTTGATACGCAATCGTGCTCATGATAACATCTATGCGACATCTCTCTGTATCAATCGGGCCTTCCGGTTATATGTTCGAGTTATAGACATTCACCCCCCCCCCCCTCACCTCAAGGAACAGCTGATGACTATACTCAACATAATAAAAATAAAATAAAGAAAGGAGTTGGTGAAAGTGCGAAAGCCGTTTCCCTTTTTCAAATTTTTAAGGCATCTTCCATATTGAGCCGACAAATGTATTGAAGGACGAATTGAAAGAAGTGTTTGCGTCATTTTGGTCACTTGGACACCTATCGATTTCACTGGATACTGACAACTGTTCAAAAGAGCAGGATGTCTACGGAAGGTCAGAATTGGTCAAAAAGACTGCAACAGGTAATACCTCCAACTTCTCACCTAATCTCCAAGATTCAGGTCAAAAACGTTTTCGCTTTCATTTTTGAAAAATCTCCACCATATTAAAGAAGTTGAGTGGGATTGCGATTTGAACCTCAGACTGACTGATATCCCTAAGAACTGCTCACTGATATACTGCACTAGCAATGCTTATGACAATATAACTAACAAATATCTGGAAGGCCTGCGCAATGCTCAAAGACATATCTTCTCAGATCGTGATTTTACCGCACTTTCCAGTAATCACGAAGCTCAATAAAATGTTTTCTTCGCATTTCATGTCTTGTTTTCCTTTACACTTTCTCTTTCACATAATATACGTACGTCTGCCCCACGTTTCTGTAAAATGTCTATGAATATACGCAAACGAGTACACAGGGCAATCTCACAATTCTAGCTTAATACAGGCAAAAGAAATACAAACTTGCTTAAGACTTTTAATCTTATAAATTTCTGACACGTAAGCCCGCGTTGAAGAAGTTTGTTTCTCAAACTTCCTATCAACAGCAACTACTGCAAAGCTGTTTGGTGCTCTGCATTTTGAAAAATTATGAAGGCAGTGGCTTGGCAAATCCTTGGCATGAGAAATTTTCGCTTGCCCAGATTATCCATTGCGCTGATCCTGAAAATCCATCTTAGAGGCAGTGGCTCGGCAAATCTCAACCTAATCAAACTCGCTTACCTGGGGTTTTTCAATGCGCTGATTCCGAAAATCCACTTTTGAAAGCTCGAAAACGGCGAAAATGAGCGTCTTTTAATGTCCTTCCTTTTGATATTGGAAGAGTGGAGGAAAGCCGATGACGCTAAATCGTGGCAGGACCCGATGGTTATAGCGTTGCGGCGGGCAGCCTCCAATGGTAAGAAGGAAATTGCCAACTCGTCCAGATGCGTGTAAGAATGGCCTGCGCGTGTAGGTTTGAGAGCGATTTTCTCGGCGGGGAAAGCATACTGTGCAACCGGGATTGCATGTTTTCGTAGTTGGGCGATAAGGAACCCACCGCCGCAACGCTATAACCATCGGGTCCTGCCACGATTTAGCGTCATCGGCTTTCCTCCACTTTTAATGTCCTTCCTTTTGATATTGGAAGAGTGGAGGAAAGCCGATGACGCTAAATCGTGGCAGGACCCGATGGTTATAGCGTTGCGGCGGGCAGCCTCCAATGGTAAGAAGGAAATTGCCAACTCGTCCAGATGCGTGTAAGAATGGCCTGCGCGTGTAGGTTTGAGAGCGATTTTCTCGGCAGGGAAAGCATACTGTGCAACCGGGATTGCATGTTTTCGTAGTTGGGCGATAAGGAACCCACCGCCGCAACGCTATAACCATCGGGTCCTGCCACGATTTAGCGTCATCGGCTTTCCTCCACTTTTAATGTCCTTCCTTTTGATATTGGAAGAGTGGAGGAAAGCCGATGACGCTAAATCGTGGCAGGACCCGATGGTTATAGCGTTGCGGCGGGCAGCCTCCAATGGTAAGAAGGAAATTGCCAACTCGTCCAGATGCGTGTAAGAATGGCCTGCGCGTGTAGGTTTGAGAGCGATTTTCTCGGCAGGGAAAGCATACTGTGCAACCGGGATTGCATGTTTTCGTAGTTGGGCGATAAGGAACCCACCGCGTTAGAATCCCTAGTTGTTGGATTTTGCCTATCCACTGCCTTTAAGAGCGCAAAGTGGTGCAAACGAGCGATTTTCCAAGGCCTTCATTTTGAATTGGGACGAGTAGAGCAGCTCCCGCCAACTTTGGAGACGGAAAGCCAAGCTATTGACCCACTTTGAAAAAGGATAGGAACGAAAGGGTGCAATCAAGAAACTGAGGTTGTATTCTTGTATTCTCTTTTGAGTACGACTTCTTTTTTGACATCGAAATGTATGTGTGCTGGGAAAAGCCGGTTAATTCATAAAGTCCTGTAACTACATTTGCCTCCAAATATTAGACACCACTAAATGTTTCGTTTCTCGCACATATCGAGAACGAGGGTCGTTAACACTGATTCGATGATGCGGAGCTTTCAGTTATATCATATGTATATCTGTAGTAAGAGAGGTTTTAAAGTAAAATCGTTCTATGTCACAAGGTGTAATGCTTTTTGCGGTCGACCTTGCACTGCTTTGTGCTTACTTGCAAAATATCAAGAAAAATGTAAAACTTGCAAGCCTCACGTCCAAAAGACGAGTTTGTCGTAGGGCTCGCGAGCTCGCCCTCTTGTCTTATGTCAAAATCAGATTACTATAGCCCGATAACCGAGAGCGATCTGGAATCCAAATTCAGTGCTTAAAAAAGATCACAAATTATCTGCAAAAGACTTAACTGCGAAAACTTTTCTTGTTGATGATGCTTTTTTGAGGTGCTTGGTATGAGTGCATAAAAGAAGAACCTTGCTCTCTAAGCGCATCTACTAACTCATTCTTTCGATCGAAAAGGATTTTTGGACTGGAAAACTCGAGTAACTTGCACATAACCTCAAGTCACTTGTAACTTAATGTTGAGGCTGCACACTTAGCCTATCAGCGACGGCACCCGTACCAGTGACCTTTCAGTGAAACATTTTTTAACCTAAAAAAAAGTGTAGAAGTATGTTCTGTTGACTAACGTGTAACCAACAAAAACGAAATAGACAAAGAAGCAAAAAATCATTGGAAATGAATAGGTTTTAATTTGCAGTTCGTCAGTTAGCGTGTATAATGTGCACTACGCATATTAAGTTTCAAATGACTTGACGATATGTGTTTAATGACAATCAAGCGAGAATCAAAAAATTTCAAAGCATATCTACAAAGGAAAATTTTCTCAAATCTTTAAACAACAAATTGGAAGGAACTGAAAGCTATATCGTGTAGCTGAAAATAGCTCAAATCGTTGAAATATTTTTTTATATGAAAGCATTGAGAGGCGGCATTTGATATCAGCAATTGAGCAATCAAAATAGGGTAAAATGTAGGCATAAAAGCACTCGAAAATTCATCCGGAAAATTTCTCTGAAAAAAGAGTGTTACCTGCATATAATATAGTCAAATGCTTTTCACTCTTATTTTACAGCAGTTCATCATCTTTGAACAAACCTAACCGTTGGTGCAATTCAGTAACGAGCAGTTTGCCCACACATCCGCAAAATCAGCAATCAATCGCTTCTAGTTTTGTTGTATTAGTATGATAATGTACATGTATAAATCATCAAAACAGTTTATGCCCTTAAGACTGCGAGTCTGACTTTGAAGTGCTCAGATATAAGCTAATACTAGTACTTCAATCTAAGTTGATGAAGTTAATGACATCTGAACGGTCTTGTAACAAAGTGTACCTAATCAGATTCCCAGGTAATACAAGAAGAGAGTATGTTTTGCGTGCGTTTTCATTATCAGTTTTTATCAAGCTGCTGCATAAATTCTGTCCAATTTGCATTTTCGAAATCAGAATATCATAACTTTTTTCAAAATCAACTTCTTTCCATGATCTTAGATCCCGTGTGTGAGCATTCTAGATATTCTTTAGCTATCAGAGAAATACTAGTTCTTGCAGAAAACTCTGTTAAAAAAAGAAGCAAGAACTCAAAAACTTTACAGCGTTTTTCTCTAAACCTTCTTTTTGACATTATAATGCACCCTTATAACAACTGACAGGCGCATTAAGTAGCCAGAGTAGATAGAGAACATTACGAAGATCGTTCTTTTCAGTGCCGAAAAATTTTTTGGCCAATTAAAAACGAAGCCATTTATCGCTTTTACATAGTTGCATGCCAACTTTCAAATTAGGAAAATTCTACACTTGCCGCGAATGGTGAAAAGTAACTGGTAGCCGGGCTCTGCTAGATCTTGCTTTACGTTAGCAAATCCAACATTAGACTTGTAGATTTCCCATTCACGGAAAGTTATTTCTTGTAGACTTTTGTACAAATGATCGTTCTTTGACAACAAATTTTACCAGCAAGACGTTTTTTTACATGAAAGTGAGTTTGCGCATATATTGGATTAAAGAACGTGTTTCGACCATTTGGGGATCATGGGCGTGAAATCAGGGACCGGCAGGAGGTGGCATTTCAGAATTTTGAAAACGATATCCCCTTTGAAGCCAAAATTTCTTACGACTTCCCCTTTGACCCTATTTTTGGCCCCCGTAAGTCCCTGACAAACAGATATACACAAATAATAAGATGGGCGGCCTCAGCGCTTATTATGGTAGTACTACCTGGCTTTCCTGGTCCGGCCCGGGTCATCGTTTGAGAGGATGGCCAAAAATTACACTTACTAACGACTTATTAATAACGACCCAAAAGAGCGAAAATACGGAAAAATTGACCATATTGCGAAAATTGAAAAAATACGTTACAAAAACAACTTTTTTGCATAGAACATTACGATCAAATATGATCGCTGAGCCTTCTGAGCCCTTGTAGGGCTTATCGAAGAAGCAATCGGTTGAAGACTGAGAAGATTGCTTCAAACAGCGATCAGTAATCTAGCAAAAAGCCAATTTCTCAAAGTTTCCGCGTCGTCTGTGCAAGGTGCACAGATTGCGATTGGAGCGCGCTTTCCGAGGCCGTCCATAACGCTATGAACCCTGTTTGGGGCTGTATCGAAGCGGTGCCTTGGTGGTTTTGGAAGCGGATTTGAACATGTAGTAATACTCTCGACCTAAGCCACATTTATGTAAAGAAATCCGGGAAATTATGTGAAGGAAAGCAGGGAGCCACCCCAGGTGGCTCCCAGGTGGCGCGGGAGCCACCTAATTTCGAAAAACACTTACCATTTTTTAAATTCACATAAGTTTCTCATAATTTTTCATACTTTGTTACTTAGTCCTACTGCGCATATACACACCAAATCCCGCGCAATTTCGTCACCTCTGCATTGCAAACGAGCCATTTTTCCATTTTCTTGATAGTGGGAAATTTTCAGAAAAAACCTTGCTACAACCTTCAGTCACATAATTTTTCAATGAAACTCCCAACTAATCTCTTACAAACTTGTGTCCACGTATGTACCAAGTCTCGTAGCATACCGTCATCTGCGCGTTGCAAACGAGCCAATTGAATGCGCATCTTCATTTACCAATTTTACAAAATTTTCAAAAAAAATGCTTATTACTCGTTCCGTTCACATAAGTTTTTCATGATTTTTCATACTTTGTTTCCATTAGCCTCTCTCCGTTCGCTTACAAAATTTGGTGCCATATCGTTACGCATACATTGAGAACTCGTCATTTATGCGTTACAAACAGCATTGTTTGAGCGACGTCGAGCGTGCGGCAGTTAGCGACGGCGCGGTTTTACACGCGCGAACTCCAGTGTTTGCCTGTTGAGGGACATAACATGTTAAGATAAGCAGCGAGCATGAACTACCAATTTTTTTCCGGGGCTCCGCCCCGGACCCCAAAAAACGATTTCCCCCTTGCTTTTTCGGGCCAAAAACGATATCCAGCTTGTGAAAGCGCCACCCCCGCCGGGCCCTGCGTGAAATCTCGTCAGACTGGGTAAATATGATATGTGTGAGAAAGAGCAAAAAAAGCGCTCTTTAGTGGTGCACTTGCTACCATTACGAGCAAAAATCTTTTAGAACGGTTGTTTGAACACAAAGCAAAAAAATCGGACATAACTTGTGCAGCAATCTGGTACTTTGGTGCTGTTGCTGAAGGATCGGGCACAACATGTGTTGTCAACTTTCTTTTCCTCTTGAAGCACTCTCTTTGTTCAGTAGTTCTCTAGTAAAAATGATTGAATTGACAAATTGAACTTTCTGGAAAAGACGTTCGGAGTTAGATCTTACCTCTAATGAACTTATTAACGGTATTAACATAAAGTAAACTAATTACTAAGATAATAAACGAGGATTTATCAAAGGTAGCAGTATTTTTGAGTTTGAAAAGATCACATCAACTTGTTGCAAGCGATGAATATGCCGAGTGCTCATTTTTTACCAAGCTAATAAGTTTCAAGTTGCGTCAATTTCAGGTGAATGTCTCTGGATCTGGCAATCTACATAGTATATGTTCTCGTAAATTCGCTCATTGTGATTTTGAATGTCGTTGTGATATGGGCAGCTGTGGAGAGCCGCGAGTTACGGCATAATCCTGCCATACATATTGTCCTCACCGCTATCATGTTGGACATTGCAGTATATTTTATCGTGGTAGTTCACGATCTGCCAAGTTTCATACTGGACAAAGACTTTTCTAGTTGGTGTTCTTCAAGATGTAAAGATGTGGCCAGTTTTTCACTTCTTTTTTTCCAGCTACGGGAGCAACAAACGTTTATGTGCTTATTCTATGTCTGCAGTGGTTTGCGCAATTGCTTTACTTGCCATTGTTATCTATTCTCCATTTGTTTGCTATTTTTTCGCCTCTGCAGTTTCGAAGCGCATCCCACAAACTTTTCCATGGTGCAAATATTGGAGTCATCATACTCGCATTACTAATTACCGGTATGATTTTACATAATTCGCATTTGCTTCAGGAAGTCTCCGTTGCTGCTAATGCATTTTATTACAAGTTATCAACAAGGGCACACCAGGACAGCGCGTTGAGATCGCGTGATCATTTCATCAATCATCTGAGCTATATAAGGGGCGACCGTAAAGTCACACTTTCAGACAAACGCGAAGAAAATCTAGATGACAGATTTTTCGCGCTTCGCTTGAAGAAATTTCTTGAAATTGACCACAGAGTTTGCAAGCTCGCTTGCTGTTTTATCTGTATAAAAAGCAGCAAACTACCTGCAGAAGACAGAACGAGAAAGGAAACAACAACTCGTCAGCGTTTTCGTCCTGAAAAATCGCGAGCTGTGCGCGAAAATTATCTAAGAGCATTTTGTGATAAATTGTACCCCCAGCGATTGTCTCGTTACCAAATTCCTCAAAATGTCAGCTCAGCTTTATTTAACTGAAATTTATATTACAGTAATGCTTTTGAAACGATCATTACAATTTCGCGCGCTCAAGTCTGCGCTGCGCCTCACCATTCAAACCGTTTTGCTTTTGAGTTATATTTACTACCCTAAATGAGTCGCACTGTGATGGCTAATATCATGAAACACCCAGAAACTTATCAAAATATTTGCGTAAGGTGGTGATCAAATGATGAGCACAACGATATGTTGAAGATAGTGGTTGCTAATGCTAATGTCAAAGGCTGTTTTGTTTCCAATGACATAAAATTCATCTGTTAGTAGACAGTGGGAAAGTATAAGCATATGCATATCACTCAAAAGTAATATCATCCTTAGTGACAAAAATGCGAAGCCGAAACACAAGCTCTACAAGAGCACGGAAGTGTTCTGGTGAATATTCTGGAGTGCAGTCTTGAAAGCATTTTATTAATACGTTGACGACTAGCCATTTTTTTGAGGTTTGTACCCGTAAAAGAGACATTTCCGTACATTTCTACACCTGGCCGCATGTATGTATGCATGCAATTATGCATGCAATACAAAATGTGCAAGCTCCGCCCACTCGACCAAAAATGTCCCAAATTGCCCAAATTTCAAGAATTCATGCAAATTCCGCACCTTTCAAAAAATGGGCGGAGCTTGCCAATTAGGGGGTGGAGCCTGCATGATTGGGGGCGGGGTCTGGCTAAAAGTTGCTTGAGGCTTTTGCTTTCATCTACGGCCTCATCCATGCTTTTTATGAACAAAAAGGGCCCTTGTGAGAGGCATAGGAGTGGGCGGAGTTTGCCAAAAGGGGCGGGACTAATATATGAAGTACATCTGAGCCTAAGTCGATTATATGAACAAAAGTGAGAGGATTGGACAGATAGCATTCAAGGCCGCCGGGTACCATTGCGCGGCACTGTCGTCAACGTGTTAATGCATTATGACTTATGATAAACAACTTCGTCAGCTGCGAAGTTGATCTTTTAAGAATGTACAGTAAGAAATGAGAAATTACTTCAAAGCATATGGATTCACATAGCAAACTCGGCATGACCGAAAAGCCAGCATCATCCGCAAACCCAAGTGATACCTTCCATAATGGCTTTTCAGCTTTTGCGAAGCAGATGATGTGTTGGTATATTGAATGTAGAATATTGTGTGAAGCTCTGGCCATACGTGCAGCGATTTCATCGTCACGATTCCGTCGCCAGGGAAATAAATAGTGCAACGAAGTCGCGACTATCAAATCGCTGGCTTGGGTTTTGGACATATTTACCTGTTCAGCGATAAGGTGAAAGTATGGACACCTCAGCAATCGTTCTACGTTTTCTTCTGGTATCGAAAAAGAGTATTCAACGTGGTTTTTCCACATTTGCAGATTTTTTGTCTTTTGTGGACAGCGATGTTGAACATCAACGATTCATATCAGTTCCCCGCGCATTCGCATCTATCGTTCAACTTTCATTAGCCCTAGGATGCAAAGCCAGTTTTCTCAAGTTGTAGCTGCGGTTTCATACGTTCCTAATTTTTCGCGATATTCAGATATCTAGATACTACGATATTATTCAATTACAAGTTTCGAACAATTAGAAATATCCATTTCGATTGATGGCACGAATTAGAAGGGGCATGCATCACAGCACGAAAGAAGTGCAATTTAGGAAATCTGCATCACATTTTACGTCTCCGCAAAAAAAACAAGTTGAAAGAGTAAAGAACTATTTCATAAGCTTTCGAAAAAGAAATCCAATTCTAGCGATATCGCCCCGTCGCTGATTTCAAACTGGCGACGCGATAGGCAAGATTTCGGCCAAACCGCGGCGATATCGCTGGAATAGGTATGGCCTAGGAAAAACGCCCAGCGATCCGTCGCGCCGGACAGCTAGCCCGACCGGTATTCATATTTGTCAGGATGAATAGGGCTTGATAGTTGTCCGACTGCACAAAACGCTTTGCGGTGATTATTTTGTCGGCATGGCCGGGGCTTAATAGGTGCCATCCATCTAGTCATCTGATCGTAACTGCATGCAAAGGCAGATGTTTTATTCCTAACGCAAGATGTCCTTTGCATTGTTGAAATGTCTCCTGCCGATAACTTACTTGATCGGCTTTCGTCGTTTCAACACTCAGCGGACTCATTACGCATCGTTTTTGTGGAGCACTCGCAACGTTGAGGTTACTAAACAAATCCTACTGTGCAAAATTCTTAAATATTTCTAAGTTGATAATTAGATTCGTTCGTACAGTTGCCAACGAATACAAATTTCTAACATTGCAGCACCTTTGTATACCAGATATTGCGGCTTTGCTTACCTCGTGTCTGGACACTATTGGTACTTTGACTTTGAAAAGCCGTACACCTACTTTTATAAGGAGTTGAATCAGATATTACAGGTAGGGGTCTGGCTCAAATGATGAGAATGTAGTGAAGAAAAACAGTCTAGATAGGGTGCGGAGCGTTCGTACTGATCTCCGATATAATTATAATTTTCAAAATTATTCGACTACGCGCGCTTGAATTGCATGAGCAAAGTGGGAACGGATTTTTGAAGGTAAGATTGATTTACTTGTAGTAAAGTCATACAACCTGATTTTTTTCAAGGATTGGAAATTTGGGACAGAGAGTCGAATTGCAATAAACTTCCTCGTAATGAGCAGCTGCTATCTGTTTATGAGCGCCTTCTTCAATATTGATATGGGGTGAGCAATTGAAGAACACCAAAAATGTTGTGATAGTTGGACTAAATCATAAACTGGGTGTATCGTGTTCAGATACGGATTCTGGCATATTTTAATCTTAAAATTGTCCACACTGCTCAATTTGTCGAAGTGGGCGCTATATTTGCTGGCAAATACTTCTATTTACAAAGTTATCGGCAGGAAATTGGGTGTACAGTCACATCATCACATTCCTCCCTCAATGACAAACCGCACACAATTTTAGTTTAAATAATATTGCATTTCATGTACGTGAGTGATGAAGTGATTGCTGTTACCAAAATCTGTTTATCTTTTACCAGTGCGTCATCTCTGCTTCGCAGAGTTTCGCACTGGCTTTATTACCCTATCCTTTCTCATTCTCGCTTGGAGCTTACCGCAAAATGTCGATCACGAATGAATTGAAAACTGTGACATTCTGTAACTTCTACCATTAAGCTCGGTAGGAAGGACTTTGCAGAAGAACAAATGCGAGTATGAATCAGCCACAATTTATTTTGGCTTGATAGTTGCCATAAGAACAACAATCATTGTGGGCTAGATTTTTAAGCATTGATTTTTTCAGTTACTTGAGTGAAATCTCAAAAGATTCAATATTTACGCGATATTCTTTCGGAGCCGTTTTCGCAAAAAATAGATCTTTGATCACTATTTAAGCTGAATTCAATTAGATTTTTGCGAATTTGCTTTCCTAACAAATTCATCGCCTCGCAAAAAGTTTGATTATCGCTTTAGTTCGCGCAAACCCGCGTGGACTCATTTGACACCCATTTTTTGAAAAATGTGCGTTTCCCGGCTCATTCTCAAGCATAGTGTACTTACATGGCAGTGGCGGTAGCAGGATTTCCGAAGAATTTTTGCGGATCCATAACCCCATAACCCCTAAAATCTGGAACAAAGGGGAGTGGCATTAGCGACGCCCCGAAAAAAAGTTTTTGTAGGGCTAATTTGAACTTTTGAAAATTTTAAAAATTATTTCAACTCGCTTACAAGAATAAACAAGTCACTTGCCCATACTGTTCAAAATTGTGGCTCAAGAGGTTGACTGCAACTCGCTCTATAAGTTTCGTGATAGACATACACAAAAACGTTTTATTATGAGTCGTGGTAGCTTATCAAAAGTTTGTTAAAATTACTTGAAAGTTCTATGAAGTTTTTGAAACCAACTAGCTGTTGTACTCGTGGTGTCTGCGACAAGACAAGATAGAACTCGTCTACACAACATCTACCTGTTCTTCTCCCCACTTTGCTACCCCACCTACCTCCTTCAATGTTTTCGTAATCAGTATGCTTACCTGCTCTGCGTTAACTCCCAACACCATAGCTCTCAGCTTGCACAAAATCGTCAAGTAAACTCAACGTATTATTTCAAAAATCATTATTTTTGCAATATTACTGCTAATAGACATCAGTATGTTCATTATTTCGCTGCCAACCCCTAGTCCCGTAGTTGAAGGTTTGCAAAAGAATTGATAGAATTGATATTGGTCGACAGAACTAGCCTAAGATTCTTGTCCTTTCCGAAGGCTATGGTGCAAAGTTTTGTACAGTTCAAAATAAAGTTTTCTATTCGGAACATCAGGCAGACAAAGACACACAGCCAATACCATGGCAGCTGTTATTGTTTTTCAAAAGTGGCATAACATTTGAAGAGCTTCAAGTGCTTGTAAAATTGAACATCAAATGCATGAGTGAAAGTGCAGGCCACTTTCGGATTTTTTGGAGATTTTCCTTGTAACGGTGGCATATTTATAATGTATGCCAGAAGTTCCTACTGTAATTCCGCAGTTATGAAGAAGATCGCTGATTCACTTTATATACCATGTATCTAACAAAGGAAGGTACTTGGTCAAAGTGCCTTATCCATACGAAATTTATACGGTTTTGTATAGCATGGGGCTTGATCCCAAATCTGCTTTCGCCATCTGCAGGGCGCTTGAAAGAAGTTGTGGGATCTTTTCTTGAAGTGATACAATTCTTGCACGCATGGCTATAAATCATTCACTGTAGTCTATGAGCTCAAATGGGGCCACAATTACTGCCCAGGTGCTTCAGCAACTTATACCTTCAACACAAAAACTCATACTAGTCATGACTCTTTTTGAAGGCCGAAAAAACCTCAATAACTGGATTTACCCTAGCCAAGCCCTCGTATTTTTACCATAGAAAATTGCCGTAACTCTCCTTTGAAAAGATGGTAGTATTAGTCGCAGAGAAAAAAGCTTAGAACAACCTTGCAGCATACAAAGTGATTGCTTGGTTGAGTTGTTCCAAAAGTCTTTTCTTGTTCGTAAAACAAGTACCCTATTTTCAGGTGTATAAGCCGCACTTTTTCAAATTTTCGCCCGGGCTGCTCAGCCGCTTCATTGTGTTTCGAGAAGCGATCCTTATGCCGTACGACTCTTTCAGGCAATACACAGCATGCGTAGGGTCCTTTGGTTGAGGTGTCCTTTGATGTATTCGGGCTGGTCGATCTAAGCTAGGACCACCCCGCGGCTTATACACCTGAAAATAGGGTACTTGAACGTAATGGACCAAAGTTTGCTGTTCACATACAAATTACTGGTAACGAAGTTATGTAGCAATTTATCAAAAGCTTACATCAACACGTTATTCTTCCTACGATAATTTTCGTCCTTTAACTAGCAAATCAATCTGAATTGAATTTCTCAAAATTGCTTTAAAAATGAAATGTTATCTTGCGAAAAACCTTGAAAAATCAAAACATTGCTTGTCAGTCGTGTGCCTCTCTCTTTCAGCCGGTTTCTTAACTCCCACTTTGAACACCAAATATTGGAAAGGGTTTTGTTGTAACTGGTTGCATTAATCAGCATGTTCACAGAGCACAAGAACTGCTTAGTCGATCAATGTTTGTATGCTTTATCATACTCATGAAAATGAAGATCAAGCTATGGAATGTTCCAACATTTTCTCAAGCTGAGTATGATCCTAGCTGCTTCATTAGCGCTACCTGTATGCGCCGTTAATCGAAGTAGTAGCTAATAAACGCAACATCGGGTTTTTACTGTGCTATATAATAGTTTACGGCCTTATACCACTGTTCATAATCAACTTAACTTTATCATTATCAGGTCATTACAAGGGTTTTGTTACGCTTTGATTTTTGCAGCAAAATGTCGTATACTTTTGTAAAGTTCTTATTGCTTACGGGTTATCATTCGACTGAACATACAAACTCTACAAATTGGTTTTTAAACATTTGCATCAATTTTGATTCATGCAAAGTTCATTCAAAAAAAATCTAAATGCTTTAAGTTCGAGAAGAAATGTGAACTCCCCCCGAACTTCCATGAATTTGGTTGAATGTACATACTAAATTGGACAAACATGCATGCTGCTGCCATGTTCTTTTCTTGGCTAAGAACTGAAAAAACGCTGCTGCAATCAAAATCGTTTACAAAGCATTTAGAAGTAAACGTGAAAATTTACTCCTTAAATGGGCTAGTCTTTATAGAAAAAGCAAAAGTAGCTTCCTCTATACCCAACATTTTTTTGCCACTTGCCGTATTCGTACAAGAGTTGCTCTTGCAGAAGGATAATTACATTTCATACTTTTGACTTGTTATCAGCAGGGTCGAGTAAGGAGCAAGAGGTGGCTACACAACCGCCGGATATGTCTTCCCCCCCCCCCCCCCCCAGCATTATCGTTTGACTACCTTAGGCATGACAAGGTTCTACCAAGCATTATTAATAGCATATAAGTGATTATCATGCTAAATACCACTTGGGCCAAGATATAACCAGTTAAGGAGGTTTCCAATATCGGGCCGCACCAGTGAAGGCTTACTTTCAAACATAGTTACCTAAATTTTGAAAGCGAATAAGCTACTTGTTTTTGTGTTACTATTCGCCCAAATTATGAATGTGTTGTTGCTAGTCGCCCATACTGTGAATCCTGCTTCAATTAACCAATCATTTATGGATAGAAGTTGTCCAAAATTTTGTCTATTTTTCGCTTGCAGTGGTTATGCTTCCAGCAATTAGTGCTCAAACGAAAGTAGACGAATTTAGCTTCAATCACTTTTGAGAAAATTAAAATAATCCGGGTGTGGCGAAAGGCGACAATCCCCAACTTTGTGCCTATCAGAAATTCTCCGATGTCAAAGTGACACGGCGGGGGTACGGGGTGGGGGAGGGAGGGGGGTGGAGGCAGATACATTACTCGATGCCACAAGTAGAAATCCGTGAAAGTCATTGAGACCATTGATACAGTGCCTCCATTTTGCGGCGATTGTCGCCTTTTGCGTCCCCCCCCCCCTCCCCAAGAATCCGGCTATTTCGTTTGTATTTCGTTCGCTGAAGTTCTCTATAGAAAGGCTGCTGCATGAAGAAGGCGCAGAAGCGGTACCAGTTGAGCGGGCGTGGACGCGGCGCGCGCATATCCTCACCATTGCAAATCCTGCGCCTCATGCGCTCTGCGGCTAATAAAGCCGCGATCGCGCCCAAAGGTATTGCGCCTTCGTCATGCAGCAGCCTTTAAGTAACGGGTGTGGCACAATTTCAGAAAAGCTGTGACTGCCACAGCTTTTTAGGGATTGTGCCACACTCCATTAACTTACCTTCAAAGCATTAAATATATGTGTTTTTATATCGTTGCAACTGCAACCTTCTTAACCAGTAGGAATTTCATTCAAAGTTATTTTCAAGCAAAATCCAGTATTTTTCCGAGTGGCAGGGCTTTCCAAAAGGAAGCGGAGTCGCCCCTCCCAGCTGCATTATTGTTCCCCAAGCATAGACGGATGCTTGCATACATGTATCACAATGTAAAAATGAACAGAAACGGCTCCTCCGCAGGGATCGAGATCCAAACATTGCTTGTCGTCAATATTGAACTGGCGAAGTCATTCCCCAACCTCACAGCCTGCACTCGGCTTGCAAAAAAGAGATATTTTTTGAGTTTTCGTGTATGTGGCACGAGAAGGGAGAAGAGGGAAGAGAAGAAAGAAATTGGAAATTACATGAAAAGAGAGAGCGACACAAGTACAACCATTTATCATTCATGTGCTTACTAGGGGATTTTCAAGATGCCAAATCACTGTGGAAGATAGAATTTTTCCTACAGTTTAGGAGGATTAAAGGAGGGTCGACATTCAGTTCCTTCAAACGAAGTGCAAAGCAGCTTGCAAAATGACTTTTGCATCTCGACGTTCATCTGAAAACTCAACAGTCGCTTTTTTTTCCATATTTCATTCCTCGGCTACCTTCTTTTCCTAAAATAAGGGCTAAAACTGTACGTTGTAGTGGCTAGAAAATTTATGAGCAGCTGGACCAAATTTTGCCCGTATACACTTCGGAGTGAGATGCAAGATCAGCCAATTAATATTTACTGATTTTCCGCATAATTTTTGCTAAAATATAAGGTGGCATGGGAAGGTAAGTGAGCGTGCTGGACACGAAAGTAATAGCCATTTGTAAAATGATCCTTTGCCTGTATTGATTTTTGTCAATTTCTTGTGAACATTGAATTAGTTTGGCCCCTTGAAAAGGTTTCACGGGCCGCTTAGACTAGATTTGTCTTCAGCTTCTGTTCACCTTTACTATGCTTAGTGAGTTAGTCTCTAGCAACATAGGTTGTCTGGCTTCATTTTTGCTTGTACCAATAAAGTTTAGTATTTCAATGACAATAATTGCCTGAATGTTATTGAATTTTTTTTGAATTTCATGCTATAATAACCAACATATCATGCACATCTGTATCTCTCTTAATAATTTAACTATGTCACAAAATGAGTGCGCCACATTTCGATAAGACAGAAGTCATGGAAAGGATGCAAAACGTAGTTTCTTTCTGAAGTAATAGCTTCGAAAATTAATGTGTTTATCCGCTATGCTATGCAGTGACTAGAAAGCTGTGTCTTTCCCACTGCATCAACATTCTGACTTTTTTGTCTGACGAGTTAACATCCTGGGTTCCACCCCGTTGGAACCAATCCATCGTGCTTCACCTTCCATGTAGCGAAACTTACCCTTCTTTTAATCCCGACTCGTATTGGGTTCGCTTCCTACCGTCCGCACCATATCCTATGACCAGCAGATCAAAATGAGTTTCACTTTTCACGGCTCAACTCTCTGACCATGCCAAATGTGCATAGACATACAGATTTTCTCTTTATATATAGAGAATTTTGAGTGAGCATTCATGTTAGCTAGACATTCGGCGTGAAAGTGCCAAAAATGCTTTGAAACTCTTACGAGTAAAGGATACTGAAGTGATATTCAACAAGGAGATGCACATCATTGAGGTCCTTTCGAAACACTGATATGTTTGCTTTCCAAATCTGCGAAGACGTTTTTGTGAAAGAAGTCACAGACCTCTGGATTCACAACTTTCACCTTAAGTGCAAGCGAATAGAATGATTATGCATCATTACTGCGACAGAAATGTGTTTCGAAATATAGTCACAACGAAAACTACCGAATTTCGCTATTTAAGATGTTTTAGTTAAGATTAGAAAGTTTACAAAAACGCAAAAGCGATGTGTATCCAGGAGTTGAACGATACCTTACGGCTAAAAGGCAACTGCTCTCCCAAACCCACTATGGGCGTTATGAATGATGCATCATTGTTCTATTTTATTTTTAGAAAGGGCAAATCTGTAGATCCAGGAATCCATAACTGCTGACCATGCCAACCAAATCTTTTCAGTGGGCAATTTTACAATGAATGTTTGATCTACTTTTGCAGAACCATTTCGCAAATTTGGAAAATGTATGTGTTATCAGTGTTAAGAAGGGAACTTAGTGATGTTTATTTTTTTTGGTAAACGCCATTGCGATCAGTATCCTTCCCTTGTCAGGCTTGAAACACTGCTTGTTAGGATTTTAACAAACAATTCCACAACAACAAATTATCCCACGTGGTCGCATTGGCGGAGGCGGTAGTGGTGGTGCTGGTGGCGGAAGTATGACGGGTATTGGCGGTGGTCGTGGTGGTGGCATTGGTGGTGGCATTGGTGGTGGCATTGGTGGTGGCATTGGTGGTGGCATTGGTGGTGGAATACACGGTGGGATGCACGGCTTTGGTCGTGGCGGAGGTGGTGGTGGAGGAGGAGGAGGAGGAGGAGGAGGACGAGGACGAGGACGAGGACGAGGGGGAGGAGGAGGAGGCTTTTCGTGTACGCATGTCGTGCACGTCGTAGTAATGCACTTGGCGCCAACACATCTGCGATGCCTAAAACGTAAACTATTATATGGAAAGGATCACCGATCTGCGAATTTTGATAGCGGGAGGCGAAAAGGCGCGGATTCAACCTCAGCAGGGTATAAAAAAGGTGAATTAGGAGAGTCGCGGGCAGAAGAAGCTCGCGAGTAGAAAAGGGCTGGCCAGAAGAGAACCAGTCCTCCCTTCAGATTGACCCAAGTAGAAAAAAACCTAAAAGTACTGGCCGAGGATTACCCTGCTGAAGGATCAAATCGGTGACTTTCTTTAACACCGAGTTAAAGTTAGTCGGTCTTATTTATTTTGGTCTGAAAGCCGTGTTATTGTTCCTGTAATTAGGATATAAGCTGTCTATCCCTTTCTGTGCTTGTCTTCAGTCATGAAGTCGAAAGCACTTTATGCCACTAGACATCTCCCCTCCCCCCCCCCCCCCTCGCCCTCCCCCGTTACAAAATTGTATAACGCGACGGCTATGGATCTACAAAAGTGAACTTTTTGCTTTGGTTTGAAAATTAGCACAAGGCTGGTGGAACACATTATGTAAGGTGACTGTTTATACTCTCACTAAAAAGACAGCCTTTTCTGCGTTTTTGCGCTGCTACAAGTAGAATTTTGAACAAAAACACTACATTGCGCACACTTAACTATGTTGCGCATATCTACCTCTCATGTTTTCCTCTCAGAAGCTCTCTACATAGAAGAAACTAATGTATTCATTCCATTTGAAACATTTTTTGGATAGCTTTGTTTTTTTTTTTAGACGAAAAGTTTGCGATACTTAAAGTTGATTATAAAATCAATAATAATATATATAACGAATATACTCCTACACCAAAGACAGTATCCGCGCTGTAGAGTGCTTAAGGAGGCTGTTATGAATAGCTCATGATTATGCTACGGAACTATTTAAATTGTGAAAAAAAATTTGTGAAGTGGTTGTACATAGATTTTTGAAGACGGTTTTTGATAATATTTTAACACATTCACGACAATACGACCCACCGTTGGGTCGTGCGTATTTTGCCGTCCCGGACAATACGATCCACCGCTAAGTCCTAAGATCCCCGAAGCTCTATTTGCCACTTTACGATAGAAATCTACGGGGTTCTGGCACAAGATTGGGGACACCTTGGCGAAGCTCCAGCCGCAGTTGTCCGGGGTCCGGGGTATAAATGTATTGTTACGATAGCTACACCGTAGACGGAAATAAGATACAAACCTTGGCTCAAATTTTTCGCAGAGTGGTGATGTTCTGAATTCAAATACATGCACGAGTACGGGGAGAGCAGAAGACTGATGTTAGCCCATCAAAAAATTATTGATTTATTGATTTTAATGATTTTCCGGATTATTTATCCCAGTAAGCTCAAACCTTACATATGTAGGTTTTCTCGCATGCTAATTACGAAAACGATAGCCTCAAGTTCTAATACCGCCTTTTTACACAGTTTTCTGATTTGTACAAAAAATGCTACCGTATTCCCACCGTGGGAAAGTAGTGAACAAAGTGGACATTATAATCTTAATCAGCGCGTGAAATAACCCCCAAAACACAATTTTTCATGATAATCCATGATGTTGGGTTTGTCCAGAGTAACCTTACCGTATAATACCAGAAACTGAAATAAACCATATTTTGATAATCAGCGCCTTCAAATCTTTGTGGAAGAAATCTCGGAAAAATGTTTTGAATTTCTCTAGAAAAGACTAGCATTTCGGACAATACGACCGACGGGTGGGTTGTAAGTTTGACAAAACGAGAAGGCTCTGCTCCGAAACGGCAGCAGTCGAAAATTTGGCCTTGTCGTGAATGTGTTAAAGAATCTTTTGGCCACAGTCAAAGCGTATGAGCTGCTAAAAGTAGCTCACCTATGATATCCAACATATTCCACCTAAGGACCTCGTGTACCTAGATTTCTTACTAGATTGCAGTTTTGGGACTAGCTTGCGCAGGTAAAGCCAAACCGAAGCTAAAGCTCCATGTTTTTGTTGGTGGCAGAACAATAGTAGACTATTCTGCAAAAAATTATGGATGAGACTTCAGACATAATTCTACCGTAAGTTAAACGAGTTTCTGAATAAGCTCGGCAACATGCGTCTGTGTAACACGACCACAATATTTTTTCATTGACTTTGCAGGTAAATCTAGAAAGATCTATTATAGATGGAAGCATATTTATCATATGTCCAGACGCTGAAATACTGCAAATAAGTAAAATTTTGAATACTGTTTACAGTCAGAACTAAATTGGCCAACAAGTAAAGTCTACAGTTCTGTTGTTCTAGATCCTCATGCCGTTTCCGATGTAAAGTCACCATCGGAAAAGCGATACGAAAATAAACTACATACCATTTTTTTCTAGCTTATTTGATTGTTTTCAGCAATTATAACTCGATTTCTCTTTGTCCTGCCTTTAATAGTTTCCTATATATGCAATTGTTTCAATTGGATGATTAGAGCAAGTAAAGGATGAACTGGGCTACTTAAAGTTAAATTTCTTCTCATGCTACTTTTTAGGCAAAAAAGCATTTTTATCATTAAACCTGATTTTGATAGAGTGTTATCATTAACGTTTCTGCAGAAAATTTTGCAAGCGAAATGTTTACCGCTGTAAAGCAGGTGGCCCTAGGCACGGATATTGGCATGTTCTATGTTGTATAAAGGGCCAGGCATACTTCACGCGATTTCAGTCGCGACGCGATTTGGCAATATTCCAACTGTCTATAAGTCGCTGTAAGCACATTTAAAATGCACAGAAGATAGAGCAGTTTATCAATCCACCTAAGTTGTACACACTATGCGTGTGCAATTTGCTAATGTTGGATCTGAAGAATTCTGGCGAACTGCCAAATCGCGTTGCGACTGAAATCGCGTGAAGTATGCCCGGCCCTTAATATACCATACTCATATACAATACCGCTCACATTTTTTGAAAAATAGACGCGAATGTATGGACATGTAAGGACATGTCGCTATATGCATGGACATGTCCATACATGTCCATACATGTCAATACATGTATGGACATCAACGTCGCGTCGCCATATCTCGCTTCAGAGTGGACGAATTCTGAATCCAAAGCCACCATTCGATTCAGCTCGGCGCGGAGAATCTTCTGATATATTGGAAGTGGGGGTACGATGTTTTCGATATTCCGTTTCCAGTTTTTTTCAACTTGTTCTGCGGAGGTCCCTTCGCAAATATGTGAAGCAACGCCTACCCAACATAGAAGACTTTACCAAGTACTATTCGATAATACTGTTTTTGTAGATTATTGTGCGCTAAAAATAGGCTCAGACTTTTTTCCAAAGGAGATAGAAGCGTTGGTGAATTTGCAAAAACCACGCGTTTTCAAATTCTACTCGCCATAAGTTCCTTCGTAATAGGTATATTTTGAATCAGAAAACAATGCCTTGCTCAGCTCATCAAGGCGAATCTTTTTATATACAGCATGTTCTTGATATTTCGATTTCAGTATTCTTGAATCTTTCTGAGCACGTCTTTTCGCGAATGTGTATAGCAGTGAGCATTGTCCCGAGTACATTCAGCAAGGATCGTTCGATAGCACTTTTTCTGTAAATTATGATGTGCTAAATAGTAGCCGCAGGTTTCTTTTCAAAGGAAATAGAACGGCTGGTGAATTGTGGAAAAATGTTGTCGTCCCAAATTCTACTCGCCATAGCCCTAGAACACGAAGCTATTTTACAGATGTGAGTTTTGGAATCAGCAGGTCGCATAGCCTCTACGAGCAAGTTTTCCGATATGTTCGGGTTATTTCTTTTTTTCTCGTTTTACGCCCCGGAAGCTCGCTGATGGATTTTGGTCAAAATGTTGATGCTCTTGAATTGTAAGGAAACTTCACTTATAGAGATTTTCGAGCACGCTCTTTACGAAAATCGTGGTCTTTGAGGATTACAGGGTCTTTTTGGAGAGATACGGTGAGGTGACTGTAACTGCATCACGAGAGTGCGTAACTTTGGCCGCACTTGTCGCGTATATGTCAAAAACCCTGCCTGCTTGCTTTTCTCAGTCAAACTTACTAGAAATAGTGCTATCGAATGGTGCATGACTCAAGCTCCAGTGTATGAAAATCACCGTGTTACGAGCCTACGAAAACACGTCCTCATGAATTTTGCCCAAAATGTAAAGATCGCATATCACGTCGAAATTCCTTCGCGAGCGCTTGTATGACGCTCGTTGCAGATATTATGTTCGCTTCGTCGAACACTCCCACTGTACTGAATATGGTGCTTGCGTCTGCTTCAGCTGCTCAATTGAATATCAAAACTATTTCGTGGCTAGAGCTCAAACCACCAAATCTAACACGATAAATCCACTAAAAATGTGGAAGGATTTGATCAGCGCGTTGTACAAGCGCTCACGGAGAAGTTTTGACGAAATATGCGATCTTTACATTTTGGGCAAAATTCATGAGGACGTGTTTTCGTAGGCTCGTATCTCGGCGAATTTCACAGACTGGAGCCTGAGTCATGCATTGTTCGATAGCACAATTCCTAGTAACTTTGACTGAGAAGAGCAAGCAGGCAGGGTTTCTGACAGATACGCGACAAGTGCGACCAAAGTTACGCACTCTCGTGATGCAGTTACAGTCACCTCACCGTATCTCTCCAAAAATATCCTGTAATCCTCAAAGACACGATTTTCGTAAAGAGCGTGTTCGAAAATCTCTATAAGTGAAGTTTCCTTACAATTCAAAAGCATCAACATTTTGACCAAAATCCATCGGTGAGCTTCCGGAGCGTAAAACGAGAAAAAATGAAATAACCCGAACATATCGGAAAACTTGCTCGTAGAGGCTATGCGACCTGCTGATTTCGAAACTCACATCTGCTTAGCAAAATAGCTTCGTGTTCTAAGGCTATGGCGAGTAGAATTTGAGACGACAAGATTTTTCCACAATTCAGCAACGCTTTTATCTCCTTTGGAAAGAAGTCTGAGCCTATTTTTTAGCGCACAATAATCTACAAAAACAGTATCATCGAATAGCACTTACATTAGTAAAGTCTTCTATGTTGGGTAGGCGTTGCTTCACATATTCGCGAAAGGAACTCCGCAGAACAAATTGAAAAAACTGGAAACGGAATATCGAAGACATCGTACCCCCACTTCCAGTATATCAGAGGATTCTCCGCGCCAATCGAATGTGGCTTTGGATTCAGAATTCGTTCACTTTGAAGCGAGATATGGCGACGCGACGGTGATGTCCATACATGTAATGACATGTATGGATATGTATGGACATGTCCCTACATGTCCATACATTCGCATTTATTTTTCAAAAAATGTGAGCGGTATTGTAGGAGGTGCGAGGATGTATAAGGATTTTGCGAAGACCATTTGCTATCTATTGAAATCCAAAAAATGATTGCAGAACCATTATGACGCTTAATAGCGTAAAAAAACTTTAGGAGAGGCTCGCAAAGGTTTGGGAATTATTAAAAAAAATAAGATGTAACTCTAGAAGACGATCTTCTCGGAGCTCTAGTACCCATTGCAGTAAACTTTTACAATGGCACTACCGCATAGGGCGTCTAATTTTTCCTTGCATTTTTTTATTTTTTTTTACCCTACACTATAAGAACTTCAAAATTAGACTGGGATCTCAATCAATACCGAGCAGAGAAATGAAAAAGATGGTTTGATTAGTTGATGTGTTATAGTGCGTTACCTTATGCCTCCAAAAGCAGTGGCAGCGAAAGTCAGAAGGAGCAGAACCAAGATTTTCATATCGATGTAGCGCTGCAGAATAATTGCTCAATGGTATTTATAGTCTTTTGGCACAGGTTCAGTGGTCTAATAATACGCAGGAACATAGTGCGGAGACGCAATTGTCCATGTATAAGCGGGGTAAAGTGACTCTGGTTTCCGTAGAAAAAAAAAGCAGAGTTGTTACAAAGTCTTAGTCACCACACTTTGACAACAAGAGAAAGTAATTAAAAGGCTTCTTATCTGTTCAAAGCATCCTATTAGATCTGTTAGATCAACAAGAACGAGATCGTCACGTCAACTTATACGTGGTAGAATGTTGGTCCTTCTGTAGTCGCAAGACGCTTACTCACTACATTTGTTCCGTTTGAATGGGTATTGCACATTCCTATAATTATGTAACAATTGAAATGTCTACATAATAGCCCTTCGATCGATGTTTGCTGTTGTGCGCTGGAGTTACTAAAAAGTTGCTGACCGCAGCCTTGTGCATTCGGGCAGTGGAGTGGGTCCTGCGAATACTTAAAAATCCGATTGATGCACTAACAAACGTTAGTGCCATGACTGCTTAGGCCCCGGACAGACTTCACGCGATTTAATCGTCGCGACTAAATCGCGACAAGACAACTGTTACAACATCATTCCATGCCGATCAACTTGCATTTCGGTTGTGATACTTTTCCAGCCCGAAATTTTTGAATGTGAAATGAAAATGAATGGAGGCAACTTAGGTCCGCTTATGCGCAAGCTGGCCAAAAAAGCGGTTACCACGCTACAACTTAGCGATGGGGCAGCAACGTCGAGTCCTCTGTGTAGCGTGGACAGGTATCGCCGCAAATTTGCTCCTGGAGATAGGACTATAATTTCAGATACAAACTGAATGTGATGGACGGAAATCGCTCTTCAATCATGAATCGACAACATGACGAAGCCCGCCAACCTACGAGCACCAATGTGATTGTCTGGAATGAGACATTTATAGCCTTAAACGTGCTCTTGAAGCTGTAGTTGCACTGCTACGGAATGTAATGCAAAACGATAGGCCATTTGGAGGCAGTTGCTTAAAATGGGTGGTGATCAGCAGATCCTGCCAGTATCGAACACGGACATAGAGAGGAGGTCTCTGGTTTGGTTGTGTGTTAACCCATTGACGACGACGCCTAATTTTGCGTGGCGGCGCTGTGGGACGACGCGATTTTGCACAATACTTTCAGTGTGTGAAGGTTTTGTGCTTATTTACAAAATGCAACGTTGCTTTGTAAACAAATATCAACATCTTCTTGAACGACGGAGCCTACAGGTCACAAGAATACAAAAAATCTAAAATAATATTGACATGTGGAAAAAATACTAGACCTGCAAATAGTATAACTTTGCAAGAGGTGTGGGCCACCGGGGCTCCACATCGTCCCTGGCAGCAAAAAGCGCGTAGGCCACCGGTGGTCCACATCGTCGTCAATGGGTTAATCGACCGGTACTGTGGCCGCTCTTCAAAGCGTATCGTTCACGGGCCAAATGACCAGAGATGCGAGCCACAACTAGCACAAGTTCTTGCCTTGTGTAAAAAACGGACGAGCTAACAATGGCGAAAGGAGAGTCAATTGCAAAGTGACTTCCTACGAAATGCAGTCACAGAAGTGGTGATGTGATAGAATTCAAGATCAGGAAGAGTTTTACAAGAGTGCACTTCTCGCTCCCAAAACTCATACGTAAATAGGCTGCTGAATGAGGAAACAATGAAACGACTGGTTAGGAATGCACAGGATGAGCGCATACATAGGGTGCGGACGAAGCACTTCTTGTGGAAATTGCTTTTGGAAGAATGTTTCCGATGGAATACTTGAACACACTCGAGGCTTCGGGAATGTCCTTGCATGAGCTGCAATTGAAGAAGGGGTTCGTAGTGATTATGCTCCGCAATCTGGACGTTTGCAATAACCCGTGCAACGGAACGCGTATGGCCCCGGACAGACTTCACGCGATTTGATCGTCGCGACTGAATCGCGACGAGACAACTGTTACAACATCATTCCATGCCGATCAACTTGCATTTCGGTTGTGATACTTTTCCAGCCCGAAATTTTTGAATGTGAAATGAAAATGAATGGAAATGTTGGCGATTGAGTCGCGACGATCAAATCGCGTGGAAGTCTGTCCGGGCCTTAGGAATTTTCACATTGTCTATGCAGCACATTAAGAGTAATATGTCTATGCGGCACTATAAGAGCTTGATTCTGCAGGTGATGGTACATTTTTTTGACAGGATCGAGCAAGAGGTGTGGCGTACTACCACAGGATACGACCCCCCCCCCCTTTATTTGGTCCAATAAGTCCCCACTATATTATTATTTACTGTAAGCTGAGAAGGAGATTCTACCAAGCATAATGATTATCATTTTAGTAATCTGCATGTCAAATAAACCCCGTGGAGCAAGCTTAGCTATTTCTGAAGCTCCCAAATATTGCGTTACCTGGCAAAAAAAGCTCCCAAATACTGCGTTACCTGACAAAAAACGTCATTTTTAAAGATGGTTAACTTCGTTTTAAAGACCAATTTGCTACCCCTTTTCGCATTCATTACAAGGCAATACTCCTCATTAGTATATGCTAGAATTCAAACTTCAAATAACCTCGAAACAATGGAAACCTCATTACCTTCAGTGGTCTTGCTTCCAACTAAATATTACTCAGAGTAAGGAGGGCGAGTCAAGCTCAATTACGAGATGTAAGCTATCGAACAATGTATAAATTAATCGTTAAAGTTTTTATCTAAAGCTAAGCTAATGAGGTGCCGTACAACACCTGAAAAGGCTGCCACACTTTTTCGGGGATGGTGCCACATTCCATCCCAATAACTTACTTTCAAAGCATTCAAATATTTGTATTTTTCATATCGTTGCTGTTACTAAACCTTCTTTCTACAAAGTAGAAACTCAGGCAACGGATAGGACCCCTCCGCCGGAGAAATGGCAGGGTCGCGGCGTTTCCCCAGCGGTGGGTCTCCCATTTGTCCGCCGGAGCCCTCCCATTTCTGCTCCGGATACCTCCCATTTTCTGCTCCGGAGGCCTCCCATTTTTTGCTCCGGATACCTCCCATTTTCTGCTCCGGAGACCTCCCATTTCTGCTCCGGACCCCTCCCATTTTCTGCGGCGCGGCTCTTCCAAATCTGGCGGACTCGCGCCGGGCAAATTTCTCCGGGGCGGCCCGGAGAAATGGCGTACCTTTGCAGCAGGGCCGGAGAAGCCTCCCACTTGCCTGCCAGTGATGTCACCGCGACGGACCGCCCATTTGCCCCTCTCTCATTGGTCAACTGGGTCCGGCGCGACTCTGGCAGATTCGGACTGTCCGGCGGAGGGGTCAGGTCGATTGTCTGAGAATTTCGTCCTTCTTCCTATACTATGCAAAAAGGAAAAGTTACGGTATCATGCTAAGTCTGCGCTACTACGTAGACTGCGAGCTCAAGATGCAAAAACATATACTTGACAGCCTTGACCTCGTATTAAAATAATTTGAGCCTTATTCGTCTTCTTTACTTTACATTAATAGTTGCTGCAAACGGAACCATTGAAAGCGAAAATTAAGACAAACTAGGTTTTGGCTGGCTCCCAATGTTCTGAGATTATCTAAAGTGCAATTTTTATGTGCGTAAAGAAGCAGTAGTGCTTTGTATAGAGTACAGACGCGCTAACATTTTGAAAGCGTTTTCGAAAGTGGTCATCCCATTTGGGCGGCCGAATATTTTCAGAACTCGCTAAAGCTTGGCCTAGTATGGCTATTCAACATGCCAAACACTATGTTTTTAGAGCTTCTTAACACAAACGATGGTAGGTCAATGCCACAATGTGCTTGTAATAATAGCGGGCTTATCTGACAGCAATCCCTCACAAGAGTATACGTAAAAAACGACCCCCCCCCTCCACCCCTTCCTTAAACCTCAATGCGACCCTCCAAGTGTGCCGTGCCAAATCCCACGCTTGACCCTGTTTTTTATTACTTTAGTTTTCTTTGTTTCAGCATTTCACGCTCACATTATTCTAATACCGAGTAAAATACGCTAATCACTAAGAATACAATGTTTATGGATCCTTCTTCCTCGCTGATGATTCCGGGAGAGGACCTGTAAATTCTGCGCTCACTTTAAGAGAAGATGAAGAAACGAAAGGGGAGTTAGAATCAAAATCACCTTCATTGTATTAAACGACATAAGAACAAAGCTGGGAAATTTTAAGTAGAGTGCTGTTGATTGATTTTACAATTTTGTGTTTTTTAGGAAGTGTTTCTGCGGAAATTTTCATTCAAAAAGCGATATCTTCTCTTGAAGTCAAAAATATATGTAAGGTGCATATCGTCTTAGCGCACTGGGATATGGTTTTTACAGATGTTCTATACAATTCCCCAACAATGGTCGGTCGCCTCAACGGCGCGTGGAGGTGACACTGAGTGTCGAATTGCGATGCACAGCCGAATTTATACTCTGGTAGGGCCTCCCAAGCTGTGAAGGACTTCGACGTTTCCGGTTTTGGCCAAATGCCTAGCCAAGAGCCGGCCAGGCCAGATTCCCCGCCGCCTGGCTTTCTCCGGCGCTAGGTGGTTCTCCCCGCTCCAAGCCCGGGTCAGCAATCGCCCGTGGAATCAAGAGTTGGCCTAATAAGTCGGCTCTTGTAGGGGAAACAATTTAATTACTCGATCAGCAAAAGGGAGAGAAATAAACCGTGCACATCCTATCCCGCCTACGGCGCCGGATGGTAGCAAAAACGATGTCAGGGTGCTCAGGGCGCCTTTCGGATCGGGCAAAAAAGGCACGTCTGCCCGGACGACACGCCAATGAGACAGCCTCATGCTCTGCACCTACAACGCCAGGACGGTCTCCATGAACGTCGACCTCCACACTCTTCTCGACGCTGCAAAGCACATCAAGTACCACGTTATCGCTCTGCAGGAAACAAAGTCCGGGAAGAAGGACGTGCGAAAATGAGTGATGAGATCCTTATCATTCGTGGTGAAAAGGTTCCATCACGAA